ATCATGTGAACTATTCTTATGCTAAAACTGAGTCTTTGAAGCATAAAAACAAGTCTTTTGAAATTAGGCTTGTGACAGAGCACACTAACACTTCACTATTTACCATAAGTAGTAAATAGTTTTAAGATGTATTTTGAACAGACCAATTTTCGTTTGGTGTATAAATCAGAAGTGAAACCTATGAGGACTAATGGAACCTGTCTTTGCTTTATGAGCTAAGTCACCAGAATTATGGAATATTTAGCCTCAAACTCACACGTGGTGAAAGCAGTTGGTAGTTTGAGGATGCATGTGTGTGTAAACTGCTGTGTGAGATTTGTGTGTTGTTTGTTTACTGTGTATTAATTAATCCGAGAAGGCATCTTGGTGTTCTAAAATTGCCTTCATGTGATGTTTTACCTTTAGTTAAACTTCACCCAAAAAGTCAGGTTGGAATTCCATATGGGAAATTGGGCTCGGCCCATCTCAGTAGGGGTCTGGCCTTTCCATTTGGGAAATGAGAAAGGGGAAATGCATGGTGCTGCATTCCTGGCTTCAGCTGGTCATGAACTGACACAGGAATGGAAATAAATTTACTCAGGTCCCACATACAAAATTATTTTTATTTTTTTTATCTGCTTTTGGTTGTCAAGACTGCAAAAAAATTTGCTTTTTTTTTTTCCCCCCCAAGCACCTCTGTATCACCACATTTTGTTTAAATATTTGCAAGCTGCAGAATGTCACTTAACGTTGTGCCTGACTGACTTGAACCAGTTTGGTTGGCGTGGGTGTCCTGCACCCAGCAGTAACCCACCAAACAGTGAGCTGAGCCACTTTCTGTACAGTTTGGAGATGAACTCCAGCATCTGAACAGTTGGAGGGGGGAGGGAGCCTAAGAAATGTGAGTATGAATTAATATGCAGTTAATGAACCATTGCAGCAAGTCTAGAGAAGGCCATGAGGTGAGTAAGAGGACTGGAGCAGCTTCCCTATGGAGACAGGCTGGGAGAGTTGGGGCTGTTCAGCCTGGAGAAGAGAGGGTTGTGCGGAGACCTCAGAGCACCTTCCAGGGTCTGAAGGGGCTCCAGGAGAGCTGGAGAGGGACTGTTCACCAGGAACTGCAGTGACAGGACAAGGGGGAAATTTAGGTGAGATATACAGAGGAAATTCTTCCCTGTGAGGGTGGTGAGGCCCTGGCACAGGCTGCCCAGAGAACCTGTGGCTGCCCCATCCCTGGAAGTGTCCAAGGCCAGGTTGGACAGGGCTTGGAGCAACCTGGGATAATGGAAGGTGTCCCTGCCCATGGCAGGGGATGGAACTGGATGGGCTTTCAGGTCCCTTTCAACCCAAACCAGTCTGTAATTCTGTAATGTTCACATTTCCATACTTGCATACAAATGGAGACTTTCCCAACAACAGTTGGTCTAACAGGTGCAAACAGTTATTCCCCCAAACCAACTCTGAAGAACAATGAAAATTTAAGAACTAATTTTGCAGTGTTGGTTAAGCTCTTGCTTTTTCTGAAGTTACACAGTTGTTTTTAGAGTAATAGCCACTGACTAGTGAACTGGAAGCAGGAGAGTCTCTCCATAATGAATAACCCAGTGCATCTTTTTGCAGCTATATACCATGCTCCGAGAGAATACATGTGGCAGTAACAGAAATGGCAGCTCTGTTCCCAAAAGTAAGTACCAGCCAATGTCAAAATGGTTTTGGCCTCATTCCCTGTGTTTAGATTTCCTTTCAGAATAAAAGCCAAAAGCCAAAGGAAGGGAGAAATTATGAAGAGTTCTACACCTTGCATCTCTGCATTTATTAACATGGCAACTGGGAAGGGCTGAAGTGCAAATCCAGGCCTTTAATTGCACTCTTGAACTTAAAATTCCTAAGAATTGCACTGAGTTCCTCCAAAACTGGAGGCTACTTGGATCGAGCTTGAAGAGTTGTGGGGTTATATGGGAATTTCATCACTCATCACCTCCTTTTCTATCTGAGTGCTGGTGCCTAGATTTCTTACTTACAGGCATGTTTAGATCTGTTACCCATCCACCAAAGCGATCTGTTTGTTCGCAGCAAATTTAGGGAGTGACATCTCCATGACTGAGTTCTTGTAAAGCCTTACCTACCTTTCTAAAACTGCCAGCAAAGATCTAAGGCTGTTTGTGCCCGTCTGCACTGATCGTCCTGGACACGCTGTCCCCTCCTGCCAGCCGGGACATGGGCTGGGAGCAGGAAACAGGCGCCAGAAAATGTGTATGAGTAACTTCCTACGGGAGAGTGAAGCAGCATTCCCTGTGCACCGCCTGGCAGGGGCTTGAAACCTCCCTGAGACGAGAGAGCAGAAACTGCGTCTCCTGCCGCGCCGAGAGGCCTGTGCAGAAGGGCAGGACCTGGCAGCAGATGTCCCCCGTCAAAGAGCCCTTGTGAGCACTCCCAGCTGCTGAAAAGGGTTTGTTGTTCTGCCTAGTTCAGCTTCTGCTTTCCCTCCCCAGAAGCCCAAGTCGGAGCTGGTGAGGACGTCCTTGCGCCTGCTGACCTCCAGTGCCTACCGGCTGCAGTCGGAGTGCAGGAAGGCCCTTCCCGTGGAGAGCAGCCCCAGCACGGACATCCAGCTGGTCACACAGCAGGTCATCCAGTGCGCCTACGACATCGCCAAGGCTGCCAAGCAGCTCGTCACCATCACAACCAAAGAGAACAACAACTGAGTCACTCGGGGCTTTTTAGGCTTGTTTTTTTTAAAGGTTGGATTTCGACACCTAGGTGTGGGACTATTCGGATTTTTATGAGGAAAAACTTAAAGGGGCAAGAAACTTTTTTTTTTTTTTTTTAAACTCAGTATTATTTTTGCATGTTTTCTAACCATCTTATGATTAATTTAACCCACTGCCTTATTTTGTGCCTGTGTTGCCAGTGTAGTTATGGATAATAGCATGTTGCAAATAGCTGTCGAGCCAATACCACGTCCCAGCGCTGTCTTGAGCTCTTGTAGATGTTTCGTTGGGGCCACGTTCTGCTTTCAGGTCCTGCTTGTGGGACTCCTCTGGAACCACCTGCACGGATGGGAGGGCAGTGTCCGCCTCGCTCCGTCCATCCTGGAGCCTCACCTGCCAGGATCCCGCTGGATGAGGCTCCGAAGGCTCCGGGACCCTCACTGCCAACCAGCAGGAAGGAGGTTTGTCGCTCTGGTAACGGGGTACAAGCCGAATATTCTCTCTTCCCATATCAACTGTTGTGCAATATGTTTTTAGTCTGCTAAACCAATAGTAGTTGTGGGCATCCGAGCTTGTTACGTGTAACTCTACAAGGTCTTTGTCACTTTATCTGTTTTGGAAGGAATTTGAAACTTAATAGTTATTTCTTTTAGTTGTCACTATGCCATTAATATATATGTTTGATGTTACTTTTAGGGCATTAGTGGTTTAAATATTATCCTTTGTTTCTGAGTTAGTAATTCATTCTTAAGTTTCCTACAGAATTTTCCCCCTTATCTTCAAGGCACCGTCTTGTTTGCAGCAGCCTTATTCAGTAACTCCACATCCAATTTCACTAAAGGTTTCTGTGCTAATTAACAAAAAAAAGGAAGTTAGAAGAGTGCCAGTGCAAAAGCAGCTTTGTCTGCCATGGTATATAACCTCTGTACCTCAACATATCCAAATGTGAAAACATTTCTTTTAGCTCCAAAGTTTTTTATGCAACTCCTTCAGAATTTGACAACTTACTGAGTAACCCCTGCCAGGCTGCCTGGCCCAAGGGTGGTCCCCAGTGGCCACGTGTGCTCCAGGTTTCTTTGTTTTTAACAGTTCACAAAAGTGTGTCAGTCCATAATTTCAAAAATGAGACATTTCGGGAATCTGAATTTCAGGCGGGAGAGGAAATCACTAGTTTTTGCTCTGCCTGTCCCCCATTTGGAAGTGTGTTGTTACTGCCCAGGAACTGCAGCAGAGGGTGGTTCCTTTTTAAATTATGGTGTGTTTGCATGGATATCCAAACACAAGTGCCATAACACTGCTGGATTCCTGATGCTGTAACTGGCTTCCAGAGTCTGAGGAAGGAAGGAATGGAGAGAGGAGATGACAACTCCGTAAATTAATGTTCTTCACTGTGGGGTTTTATTTTCTTTCTGCCCTTCTGACTCCCAGAAGCATCTCTCATGGGAACACAGGGAGGCTGAGATTAGAACTGCAAAAGACCTTTGTGAAACCCCCTTCAAAATCATGCTCCTGGCAATTAAATAGTAAGAATCTTCTAGGAACTTCTTAAATTGGAATCACTGAAAGGCAGCAGCTGGTCTTTTTCAGTCTCTCAGGACTCCGTTGTGTGCTGTTCTCTTAACATATCTTACCTGCTTTCCAAAGCAGGGTGACACTGAGTTACAGTGTCATTTATCTCTTATTTAAACCTGCCTTTGATCCAAACCCAAGGGACACTTTGGTAACTGCCAGCCCTTGCTCCAGCTATGCTGAAATCAGAGGGGTTCAAACCCAGCGGGGGAACCCACGAGCAGCACGTTCATTAACCCTCCCAGCACACAGCACTGCAGTCACAAAGTTTATAGCACCTGAAACAACAAAGGTGTTTTTTTGCTTTTATTACTAGATCTCCTCTTGTTCCCCTGTAAACAAACTTGCTCTTCCTTTACAAAATGCTGCAAAGGAAAAGCTTTTTTGCCTTTTTTAAAACCTTGTATTTATCAGTGTCATTCTGTCTGTACAATATTTTGACCTAATCTTTTGTTTACAGTATTACTATAAAATGCTAAAACCCTTTCTGTGTGTGAAATAATCTGGGTTTATTTGACTGCTGCTTCTGTAAAGATCTTGGAAAAGGTTTCTCTAGTTGACAAAAGTGCTGGGGTGACTCCCATCTTTGTCACAGTTCTGTATCAGCTCCTTGTGCTGTGACAGGACTGATTTCAAGGTGCAGTTGCCAATGATAACAGCAAGAAATCAAGTGCAATAATCAACTCAGTCTCCCCTCCTATTGTTTGAGTAGTTTGCTCATGAAAAGAAACAAATCCTTGCTCAGGTTCCATTCATTCTTTATTACAGAGTGAAAAACAACATTTAATGAAGTCTTCAGCACCTTCTGGAGAGGAATTGGATAAATTAAGAACTGTTGCCACAGCACACATTATCTGACTGATGTGCAAAGTGCATTGTGAATTAACTCCTAAAAGCCAGCTGGGCACTCAGGCACATCCTGATCCTCAGAGGTGGGAGCCTGACACAGCACATCCTGGTTTGCAGCTCCCATTCCTCGTATTCTTTCATGGCTGAGATCCACAGGGCCCTATTATTTGCTGTGTTGCCCCAGCCCAGCTCTTACTAAAACACATCAGCACACTTCTCTGAGGGTGCTCATGCCCCCACATTCTTGAAGGCAGTAGAAATTTTCCTCTTGTTTAGCTGGGGCACAGCTAAATATTTTCACAAATCTATTTTCACTGTAGCCTGTCCCAGAGCCACCATTATTTCAGGAGTTCCTCGAGTCTTCAAAGATCTCTTTCTGTAATCTGGAACTGCATTTAGTGTTCTTTCCTCAGGTCCATGGTGCCCTTGGGTAACTGTAGACCTAAGGGGGTCAGAACAAAGACCAGAACTGGTTTATGAGCTCTAGAATTAACCTACACACACTATTCAACATGCAGTGGAGGTGATCTCCTGGGTAGGGGGGGTTAGGTAAGGTTACTCAAATTCAGCTTCATTTATAGAGCCGGGCAAAGCAGGACAGACACCAAAGACAGCGAGCAGTGGAGATGTGCTGTCCCAACTGCCATAAATTATTGTCGGCACTGAATAACATTTGAGGCGCTGGCAGTGCATCTGCCTCAAACCTTCTTTCAAAACTAGGGGCTAAAGTATCAACATCAGCACAAGAGAAAAGCAATTTCTAAGAGAGAACTACAGAGCTCTGTTAGAGGACGGGACAGCCCCGTGTTCTGCCCTAGCACCATGTGACAACTAAGGTGGGGATCAGGCACAGTGAGAATTGTGTAGCCTGATGCCATCACCCTCTGTGATGGGCTCTTGTGTCAGGCTGGTCTGTGTGTTGGGGTGACCCACGTGGTCAGAGGGACCCCTGTGTTGTCAGGGTGACCCCTGGGTGACCGTACCCTGTGCTCGCCCTCCCGCTGCACCAGCTCCTTGTGGCGCTGCTGGGCCCATCTCTCCTCTTTTTCCTCCTCCCTCCACTGCTTCTCCTCCTCTTGCCAGCGGCACTCTGTCCCCTAAACACGGAGAAATTGGGGCTGAGATTTGGCACCTTCACCGTTCCTGTGTGTCTGTGGGAACCTCGGCCTACCTGTGCCTCCCGCTCCTGCCTGTGGGCTGTCTTCAGTTCCTCCTCCTGCTCCTTCTCCCTCCGACTCAGTTCCTTTGCCTCTTCAAGTTCTCTGATCAGCTGCTCTCGATACTTCAGGGTCTCTTCCTGGGCACGTCTGTTTAACTTGATCTTCTCTTGGATCTGGCGCTGTCTGCCTGCAAAGACCTGTGTGAAGGCAGAGGATGGAGGGATGGTGGTTAAGCAGTTCCCAGAAAGCACATCACACAAGCAGAAAAATTCCACCCTGGGTACAGAAGGCTGTGACTCTCTGGAGGGTGGAGAGTTACAACTGGAACAACGGTTTCATCGTGACAAGGGAGAAACCTCATCAAGAAGGGTCATCACCTCTTTCATCAGGTGATCTCTGGCCACCTTCTCCCTTTCCCATTCTTCTTTCATCATCTCCCACACTTTTTTAGCTTCTTCCCTAAAGGAGAGAGGAGGTTAAAACCCCAGTGTACTCCACAGGCATAGAGGGGCTACCCTGTGCTTTAGAGAAGCACTTGGGTTTCTCTTCATGTTTGTTCTCTTCAGGCAGTTGGTGCGTCCACCAGCCTGTGCCTCTGAGACCCTCTGACCAGAAACATTCAGCACACACAGCGTTCAGAGGACGTTCGGAGGTGGACAGACTCACGTAAAAAGAGTCTCTAGCTCTGCCTCCCTCTCCTTTTCCAACTGGAGCTGTTCCTCGATGACACGCTTCATCCAGGCCACGTCTGCCACCGCCTGTTCCTGACACCCCGACTGCCAGAGATGATTCTCATTTTCTCTCTTGAGGAGGGCTGATAAGATTTGCCTGTCTGTCTCCTGGAGAAAAACCACAAGATTAACAACTGTCCAGCAGGCTTCCAGCCCGTGTTCAGGGCTCCTCTCCAGGTGTAACTGGTGACAGTGGCAAGGGTGTGCTCAGCAAGATGCTCTTGTTTACTCCTTCCCCATGAGCTTTGTGCCCCAGCGCTGTGCACAAGCTGGAAGGGGCCTCCTGACTAATTAGCTGGAGGCATCGGAGGCAAACACAAACCACACAGAGCAAGGTTTTCCACCACACAGTGAAGTATGAATCAACCTCTTACCAGCTCCTCCTGTATCTGCTGCGCTCGTCTCTTTAGCTGGGCACCACACTGATGCTTCAAAAAGCGACTGAAGGGAAAAAAAAAAAAAGACAAAATAAAAATCAGACATTCAAACTGACTCTATAAGCCCTTGTTACCGTACACCAGCACTCAAGGAGGTACATGTGTGGCAACATGACAGCAGAGGAACCTGCTGCAACAAACAGAAGAAAGGGCACCAGTGCATCTGCTCCGTGGCTGTTGTGGGTGAGTCCATCAAAATCCAAACATTTACATCCTACCACTGCTAGCTGGAATATCTCCTCATGCCTTGAGTACTGCTGTGGACTCAGGAACAGATTCTATCCAGAACAAGCTCCACTTGGTGTCATACCCAAGGTCTTTCTGCCTTCGGTGCTCTTCTATTTGTTTCCTTGCTTCTTCCAAGTTCTCCAGCTCCCGCTGCTGCTTTAATAAATTCTCTTTTTCTTTTTTCAGCTTTTTTGTCTAAAAAGGAAAAAACAACCACCAGGACAGAGTACATCAGAGAGCTACAACATCCCAGAGAGCCTGTTTGACCAGACTTTGTACCCCATTCTGCTCCTCTGCATGCAGGGGAAATCTCCCCTGCAGTCATATTCCACATTCATTTAATTCGTGCCTTGTGGCTCACAGCATAGAGACACTGAGGAGCTCCAGCTGGCAAAGCCTTTGACCTGGACGTGCCACACCTAGAAGTTCCTACAAATCCTTTTCTCATCTGATGCAGCACAAAACAGCACTTGCACTTCACAGAATCCCAGACTGGTTTGGGTTGGAAGGGACCTTAAAGACCATCCAGTTGCAACCTGCTGCCATGGGAAGGGACACCTTCCACTAGATCAGGTTGCTCCAAGTCCCATCCCACCTGGCCTTGAACACTTTGAGGGACTTCCCTGAACACTTCAAGAGCAGCAAACAAGCTACAAGGGTTCAGCCCATATTGCAGTGTTCAAGACAGAGGTCTGCACTACCAGCAGAAACTGTCACAGCTATCTTCATCCCAGATTTCATCCACTGCAAACCCAGAAGGAAGAGGTCAGCTTGCTGTATTTCCAAGTGAACCAGGGAATTCCTGCCTCAAATGAGGAGAAACTTAAGATTACCTCTGCCTCCTGCAATTTCAGTTCTTCTATCTGCTGCAGCAACATCTCTGCTTGATTCTTCTCCAGCTGATGCTTCTCTTCCTCTTGTCTCACTCTTTCCAGCTCTTCCCTTTGTGCCGTTTCGTACTCATTTTCATAACGTTTCTTCTCTTCGAGCTCAGTCACCTCCTCCTTTCCCAGCCAAAAGAAAACACAGCATCTCAGGTTAGGCTAATGCAAACAAACAGCTTCTGGCTCAGATCCGCAAATCATCCTCCTGCAAGCTGGATGGTTTGGTAATAGTGCCCTTCTACTGCTGTGGGAATGAGCTCCATGCCCTTGGTCGTTATTTGTTTCAAGACTGAAAGAAAACAAATAGCAACGCCTGTTCCTTCCACCTCTGAGCTGTGTCCATATGGGAAGACAAGATGTCTGCCAGTCAGGGCAAAAGGCACAAGTGTTACACTCCACCAGAGTCCTCCCAGTGACAGAAACCCCAGGGCTGCCCCTCCATACCTTGTTTTTGTTTGTTAGTTGATCACCCCACGCCTCCATCACGTGCTTCTTGTGCAGCTGCGACTCTGCCTGGAGACACAACAGATGCGGTGTGGCCATCAGTGCCAGAGGTTCTCCTGTCCCCCGGGATCTTCCGGACTCTCTGGAGCACCATCTGGCCCAGCCACAGCCCTGAAGTCCCAACAGGATGTGCCTCTACAGAGGTGGGCTCGTCTGTCCACGGTGCCCACCAGGTCCCAAGCTGAGGGTCAGTGTCACATGGGAAACACCAGTGTGACACTGACCACAGGGCTGGAGCAGCAGGTGAGTGGAATAAAAAATAAGAAAGTACCACAGCATGGCAGGAACGGCTGTAAAAAGCACCTGAGATATTTACATTGTGGAAGCTGAAAACCTGCTCTGAGTGAAAGTATTTCTGACTTTTTTAAAAATACCAGCTTTGAGGGGGCTTCTTACACAGTTAAACCGTTTCACTTTGCCTTTTACTTATCGGAACTTGGGGCAGTTGCTGTGATATGAGTGGCAACAATATGTGAGTGACTTTCAAGTTAAAAACTGGTTTAATAAGTACAAGGCAACACGGACTAAATGGAAAGTAACATCACCTCCCGGAGCTCCGTGTTGTTTTCCTTCCAGTGCTCCTGCAGCAGCTGCTCAGCAACCTGGGAACAGAGAGCTGGGTCAGGTCAGGATAGGGGAAGGCTCAGCATTCCAACCCCGCCAGGGTTCAGAGTACCAAGTGCTGGATAGCGGGGGACTCCTGGGGACCCCTAGCAAGTCCCGCCGGCACAGCTGAAACACGGGAGCGGCCCTTCACGGGGAGGGATGCTGGACGAGCCCGGTCGGGCCGCGCCCTCACCTTGGTCCTGCGCTGCTCGCGGCTGTCCCGCGGTTCCTCGCTCCGCATCCCGTCCCGCCGCCGCTCCCGCAGCTCCGCCGCCAGCGCCTCTCCCTCCTCGCACAGCAGCCGCCGCAGCCGCTCCCGCCGCTCCTCCAGCCGCTCCCGCCGCTCCTCCCGCCGCTCCGCCACCGCACTGCCGCACACCGGGGTGTCAGGGGGACGCCGGGGCCCCCCGGGGACCCTGCCCGGCCCCCCGGCCGTACCTGCGGGGGAGAACGCGGGGCTCGCTCCAGCGCGCCTGCCGGGAGCAGCACACGGCGGCGCGGGCGAAGGAGCGGCTGGTGCGCTCCCACTGCTGCCGGCTCCGCTCCTCCCGCTCCCGCCGCTCCGCCCGGCGCTCCGGGCTGCGGCCCCACGGCAGCCACATCGCCGCCCGCTGCCTCGGCAACGCGCCCGGCGCTACGGGCAGCGCCGAGGGACGCGGCGAGACGGGCTCCGCGGGACGGGAGGGAGGCGGGGACGGAGGGAGGGACTCGGGATGGAGAGAGGCGGGGACGGAGGGAGGCGAGGATGGAAGGACGGGGGAGATGAGGGGATGCTCATGCCGACCCGACCCGGCGGTTGCCGCCGCACCCCGAGCGCTCGCAGGACGCGCAGAAGCGGCCCCCGAACCGGGCCCGGGGAGGTGCCGCTCTGCCGGGTCGGAGCGCCCGGACGCGCGGGGTTTATGGCTCTGTAAATATCCCAGGGGTTAAAGGTTTCTGTCTCTGCCCGCCTTGGCACCAGCGCGTCGCCAAGCCGGGCTGGGTGACCCAGGACAGGCTGGGCACCGTGGGGTGGACTCCGGGCACCCCAGGAGGGGATCTGGGCACCATGGGGCAGGCTGGGCACCGTGGGGTGGACTCCGGGCATCCTGAGAGGGGCTCAAATCACCATGGGATGAGCTCCGGGCATCCCGGGGTGGGTTCCAGGCACCATGGGGTGGGGGTTGTGTGGCATCGGGAACAGCGGTGGCAGCAGCTCTCCGCACCCGCCTTGTACCCGCACCCTCCCTTCGAACTACCGATCGCTATCTCCCCACGACCTGTTTTTCCAGAATAACCGGTAAATGCACCGCGTTTGGGGCTCTGTCGCCAGCAAATACCCCTCCCCGCGCTGCGGACGGGCTGCGCATCCCTGCGCTCCCACGCCGCCTCACCTCTCCGTGTCCCCCTCTCGGTGTCATTTTCCCACCCAACCCCCCTCTACTGAGGTATTTAACCGCCCCCCCCACACGTAGAGGTTTGTTTTCCATCTGCTCCCCATGAAACATTCATCTCCCGTAAATAATTCAAGGCTGCCCGCCCGGCACACGGAGCACGGGCAGGGGCACTCTGTGCTGGGTCAGGAACTGGCTGGAGGGCCGGGCCCAGAGAGTGCTGGTGAACGGGGCTGCAT